AACATTTGCGAACGGCAGAGCACACGGTAATTGCTCTCGAAAAACTCCCACATTACTGGTCGTGCGGCTATATTACTTTTGAACAAGTAGAAGAGATACATCATGGATTCGCTGTCATTCATAATGCTTTTGGTAGAATTCTCCCCCAGCAAGAGATTGAGATATTGTCGTAGATGCGACTGACTCTGTGTGCAACGCAAGGAATAAATAAGATCATCGTACCACAGTGTGTCACGTTCGGTCTTGGCGAACAAATCCAAAATGGCATTGAACTCCATGTCGCTGAGATATTTCACACCCAAGCAGAGTATGGTCTCATACATGGCATAATAGCTCATGTCATTGCCGAATTTCACATTACCGAATATGTACTCGTGTGCTTGATTATGCGTGTAGTCCAGACATTCTTTCAGATCGACCAAGCAAGCCATTTCCATGATCTTTTGTCTCGCCAGCAAGTCGGTGTTGGTGAGGTTTTCATGCAGCGGCATTTCGAAGAGGCGTATGAACATTGACCTGATGAGCTGGCGCACAAAATGGTTGTACATTTTGTGTGAGAGAGTACCAAAGAGATTCTTGCCTAGAAAGACGATTGTGTCGGCCACCTGATTCCACGGTATAAGATTCTCTTCGTACTGCAAATATTCTAGTAATTCGAATATCACATCCACCGACTGTATTTCGTTGTTCTCAATAAGTGGGCCCAGATCTTGGAAAATAGCAGCGCGATTGAGTGGATGTATGTGCGTGTGATTGTCGTGCAATTGTTTGGCTATGAGCCAGAGGTTGGCATCATTGTAGAGTACATGATAGAAGCCCGTCTGTTGTTTGTTGACGATAAGCCAATCGTCAGGTCGCAGTTCGATGCCCAACTCGCTGGCGTTTAGTGTCACTTCAGTCACGGGCGGCATGAAGTAGTCGACGCTTGTACGCTCAAAGTCCGGCGCAGATGCACTGGCAAAATTCAATGGTATCCACCAGTGTTCGCGAGATTTCTGATCCTTCGAACGTTGTTTTATGGTGATGGTATTCCGTTCATAGTCGCGCGAAACGCTTACAATCGGAATCCACTCACTGTGCGTCCAGGAGAGCATAATACTGCGTATAGAATCTTGCTGAATCCAAGGCAGCTGATTCATTGTGGCATCTTCTGCAATGGCAGATTGTAAGGCATCGAAGAGGTCCAACTCATTGGCCACAGTAAACTGACTTGAGAGAGAGGGGAGAAAATTTCTTCGAATTAAATGTTATTGACCAGTTCCTGATGTCTTAAAGCAAGTTCGGTGTCTATTGAAGAAAAACTTACTATTTGCGCAAATACTGGCTGATGCCACGTACGAAGGTCTTCTGAGTGAAAGCGTGATGAAACATTTTAATAACACAGGCAGCTGTAAGAGGTAAAAGGAAGCGTGAGTATAATAGTTTTATGCTGGGGAGGCAAATATTCAAGGTAGGAGTTTAAGTACAATCTTTAGCGATGAAGTACACTACGCAGCAAAGACAAAAAACTGTTGTGTCCAAATGCCACTGTTTTTTTGATAGTTCGAGCATTCCATGGAAATGGTAAGTTTTGTCCCATACAAACAGACAATTAATTTTATAGCTGGATATTTTTTCTTAGTTGTTTATCACACAAATATATAGTAGAACTGGTTACTTCATTTGACAAAATTTCGGTTTGACTTTCATTATTGCCGCAAACTGAAAAACCTCGTACCACTGAAAAAAGATGCGGGTATAAATTTGGGTTGCTCCATAAAACAAGAATACTAGTTCTCCCTAACCTAAAAAACTGAAATAAATTGAAGAGATGAACCGCAAGGTAAAGAGTGCATGGCCTTTAGAAATCCGAAAAGAGGAGCACTGGTCCGAAAATCAAAATTAAGCTCTTATAGAAACTTCTGAAGTGCAACTTGACGGATTGGCTTGTTTCTCTTGGAAAATCTGATGGGCACATAGAATCCGCTCATTCCCGGGTAGGTTAATTACTGACGCAAGAAGGGATATGGAAGTGGATAGCATGATGGGAAGAACCACCAGACTAAACTGATAGATAGCATTACGGATGTCCACTGAGGAATCGGTGAGGTTTTGAACACTTGAGGTCGCTGGCCTCAGATGGTGTTAATGAGGTGATGGTAAAGAGTGGGAAAGACAAGCATATAGTGAATTTGTGTATTTCCCCACTCTTTGGAGGAGTCTTTTTCCAAACAGAGGAAGAGTGACAATGCGCTACCAAACAGCTTCAGGCCAATCAGTTCGACATCCGTTATGCTGAAAAGCCTACAAAGGCGCATTCGAAAAGTACACTAGATAAAAGGTTTTGATTGACAGCTGCACAAGTGTTCACCAACATTGCATACCAAAGTGAGAACGTGATGGAACTGATAAAAGCTGGCTTGAAGGAGTCTGAGTATCGATTAATGCTGAGGATAAGCGAGGTAGTTGTTGATTTGGCCAATGCCAAGCGGATTGTCACTCTGCTGACAAGCAATTAGCAAGTTTGCCATTTTGATTCCACAACTTGTGCAACCTACAGCCGTTTGGCGGTTTTGATGCATTTCAGTACGTCATACAGAGAGAGGCAGCTGTACTACTCTGAAATATTCTGCTGAAATGGTTCGCCGATTGTCTTCGCCCTCATCCTTGCGAGGGCTGAACAATCGCACCGGAAGTGTTCGACTATCGCTTTCGAGATCGGGTCAGCGCAATTGCGACAGAACCTATTGCAGGGCAATCCTACCCTTTCGGCATGCACCCAAATGGGCCAGTGTCCTGTGCACGATGCTGTAAATTGTAGGCATCTTCTTTGCTCATCCCCAAGAGAGCTTTGATCGTAAGGGGGTCGTAGGATACCCAAAACTGCTGGGTAATCCTGTAAGAGCCTGTGAAATCTCTCCCGCCTCTACTTGGCCTTCGAGTGATAAATTTCGGTAATTTTTTACTTAATCTCCCTAAGCCAGCCACCCGTGTCCACCGCGTAGGAGACATGCAGTGCGGAGGCGCTCCTGGCTAGTTCGTTCGCTCCTCGTTTCCGTAAATGTTCCTATGGACCAATTTGAGGTCTGACTCTACGCAGCAATAGTAACTCCAAGAACGCCATATTGATTGTGAAGTTACTCGCTCCCCAAAATCGTTCCACGCTGTTTAAAGCATTCACTGGGTTTTAACTACAAAACCAACATCAGAGGAATTTAACTACGATATATCAGAGTCGGGAGTTTTCAGTTATATTGAATATACTTTCGTCGAAATAATGTATAATTGCAACCAAATTCCCATAGGCGGTGTTTACAGAAGAAACAAATTTGTTTCTTATGAACACTTTATAGATTTCATCGAAAACCCTGATCTTAACATCAAAAGCATAGTCGTAGCTGGTCATTATAATAGTGACCTGCTTCGAGAAAGTAAATTTTCAACAGCAATGCAAAATTTATATTGAGACTCCTACACATTTTACTCAAACCAGCTGCACCCTTTACTTTCCATAAACTTTTTCATGAAGTGGGCGAAACAATCATAAGGTGGATACATTCCATTTTAATCTGGAATATTGCTGATTGTGGGGGAGGAAGTTTGCCTTTGTAACATGTCAGACGTTGGGAGACGATGCAGTCACGGTAACTATAGGTAAGAAGCGGGCTTGGAAAACCAGCGTCGAACGCAGATAATTTTCAGACAGTATCGGAGAGTTTTTAGATAGACATGCAGCCCGTTTCTGTAACAATTCTCTACCAAGGCGAATTGAGATATGAATTCGCCGCCCTGTTCTCTACTGGAAATGAGTAGTAGAGAGAGAGAGTACCATTACAGTACAGTTACAGAAACGAGCTACTGGGGTCTGAGGGCGGCTATGCCCGGATTGTATTCTGCGGTGGTGTGGTGGAGTAGAAGCATGTCTTTATGTGGATGTTTAGGCACTAAGGCGCCATGCCCACAACGTCGGGAGCAGCTCTTAATATTTTATTGAATTTGCTCCTCTGTATTTACCGTTACATCAGGAGAAAATGAGGATGATGCGTCGACTGTATTCTTTTGGATTGTGGCAAAGTGTTTTTAAGGTATCCGAATAATACCCTTGGTTTTTTGGACCCTGCTGATAACCGAATACCTGTGGTCTCTTCTGAAAGAAAGTACACCGTTAGCCTTTCTAGAAGGGAGCAATAGAGAGATCCAGGCGCTCCCTCTGAGAGCTCTTTAAAATTGTCTATACCATAGTGCATGATAATTTCAGTTGCTTTGTCGCTTTAGGTATAAGATATCAGTATTTCAATTTCAAGTCTTTGCAGTACTTAAAAAAGCGGACTGAAGATTTAAGATTGTAAGTACAGAAGAAGCGGGACATGACGGGACACTTATATAAGTGTTAAAGGCAGCGAACTAACTGGAATAAGGTTCTTAAAAGCCGTTGGAGCAATAGTGACGCCTGCAAAATAACCACGACGCAAAAACTCGTCCAAATGGTGGTTGAATATCGCTAAAGACTCGTTTGAAGGGATAGCTTTTTCATGTTCCGATATTTGTACAAAATGTGATGCATTCGGTCAGCTAGAGGCCTACAGGCTACATTATCTGATCGTGTAATATAATTCCATTGATTTTATCGACGATTTCTGATAGGACGACCTATCTAAATAGACTGGAAAGTTCGATGTCTGCTGCCCTGGAAAGACTACAAACTAAATGACTTCTTAATCACTGAAATTGGTGGTGCCGAGTACTATAATATCTATAAGTTTACCCAAACCTCGAAGAAACAGTCAATCAAGTCCAACCACGGTGTGGAAGCAGAGGGTCCAACAAACACGTCTACATATATAAACTCAGACAGTTGAAGTCAACTCCGAGCTGGTGTGGGATTGCCATCAACTATTAATGATGATGTAATGCCTCATCCGTGAAAAGCGTTTACCTCACTTGGATATCTAGTCAAAGTAACTCTAAGTACACATCGTTACCATAATATAGAAAGGACCTAACTCCTATTGTCGCTGAAATACAAAAAGCCGTATCTAAGTAAAAATCCAAAATTTCTTTTTTGATTGTTTATAATGCATTTCATTGAATTATAAGTCCCCACATCATTTTAAGCGATAAAAAATTTTAGTCAGTTACGGTTTTTTGCGTTTCAGCGACTATATGAGTTAGGGCCTTTCTATATTAATGTAACGATATGTAGTTGCGTAATGAAGTGACTGGTATTTTTTGGATACGAGCAGCTCAGAGATTAATAGGCTTGGAACTATTCCTCAGAATTTCATGTGCTGTGATTAAAAAAATGAGGCAAAAAATTACTAGGCAAAGTCAGAAGGTAACAGGCAGGCTAAGGCGCGGTGCACATTAGAGTGATACGATACGAAAGAGATATCGACATGCTGATTAATATCGAAATTGATAGGAAGTGATGAAAACTGTGCACACTTGCACCAAAGCGACACTGCTGCGACATAATATCGCTTGCGTATCGGCCGTGCGACACGGTTTGCTATCACACCGCAAATGGTATCGCGTGTCGTGTCACTCTAATGGGCACTGCACTTTTATATCGATTCGCGTGTCGTATCGCATATCGTATCGCTCTATAATGTGCAACGTGCCTAAGGCCTTTTCCATTAGAAAAAGGGAACTGGGTTCCACAAAATATAAGAGGTCCATAACATTGGACGGCGGTGACCCATTATACTTAAAGACAATTCCAACCTAAGCCTCCTAAGCTTTCAAGAGAGGCATTTATTATGGATACTAACCTCTTTGGTAGGATATGATATCGAATACAGATAAAACTTCCGACTCTTTCTCCACATAGTAAGTCATAGGTCGCACGGTCATATAATTGTAACTATAGGCGCGCTCAGCAATATCAGTCAAAAAGAAATCCATAGTTTTATATTCTGGATAAAGCTAAACCGTGATAGAGAAAATTTGATTATTTATAACAGTTATTGCATTCAAATTAGTTCAAGTACCTACCAAATCTGTTATTACATAACTAAAATAGGTGGCAAACCCTTCATTCAACCAAGCGTATGTCCACCACTGTGGTGACACCAAGTTACCGAACCATTGATGAGCGATTTCATGATTTTGCGTCAGTATGTCCTTCAGTTTCTTGTGTAAATCCGCACCATCCTGCTGCACCAGATTGTCCTCTTTGTAGGTAATTAAACCCCAGTTTTCCATTGCAGAGCCGAAATTTTTTTTCAATGCTATGTGATCCAATTTCGCCAACGGATAATCGATGCCAAAGTAGTCCTCAAACATGGCCACCGTGCGCACAGCATTCTTCAATGCTTTCCGTCCCTTATCAGCGATGCGGGGTGAGGTGAAAATACGTTGCATGACACCGCGATATTCCTCCGAAATGTAGACAAAATCGGAGATAACAAAAGCGACCAGGTAAGTAGAAATGGCGGGGGTGGTGTGGAATGTGGTTGTCACCATTGATGCATCACTGTGCGCGTACATTCCAAATAGCATAGACAAACAAACACATATTCGTTAAACTTTGATGTGTAAGTGTGTTGAAAATGAACAATGACTTAACGGATACACGTACATATGTGCGTAATGGATGAGCAGTTGTGAAGTGCGTGTAAATTTGCGGTTTATTAATTGGCTTTGGCTGCTGGCCAATACATATGTGCGTGCTAGTATGGGTACGAGTATTACTCAATTGTGTCTACTTACTTGTCACCGAGTGCAGCATTTACGTCAATGCTCGGTTCAATTTGACGTACCATCATATTCGAGATGGCTGTGTAATAGTTGCTGTGCGTAAGGCTGATAGTGAAGTTTGCTTTAAATGATGGCTCATCGTAGCAAGGAAAGGCCAGGCGGGCGCTGGTCGGCTCAAATTGCGTAGCTGTCACATAGCTATTGTATGCATGGAAAATACGATGGAGAGCAAGAAGAAAAGTTTTAGTAACAAAAAGTGATTAGTGTGTTAGGCTATGGAAATGATGGTCTCTACGAAGAGCGATAGAATTTCATATGAATGAGTTTTTATGCTTTATAAAAATTTGTTCTCTACTTAAAAAAAAATGTTGACCTTTCGACGACAATCTATAAGTAAAGTGAGACTTTAACGAAGGCTATTCAGATGCGTTTTTAAAGTCCTAAATAAAAACGCTTGTTAATCGGCCCTCACGGAATATTTTTTTCCAAGAGAAATCGAAATGCTTGGATAGTAAGACGGTGCCTTTTTTACAAAGCTACTTAGGTTCTTAAAAGAGCTCAAGATGCAAGTGTAACATTAGTCAAGAAAGAAAAGATCAATTCAGAAAGATTTTGCTTGTCTTCTTTGCGTGTCACGGTAAAAAATGGGTTCGCGAAATACTTCTTGTAAGGTCGACTCTACCCCATTGGACTTCCTTATTGTGGTATAAGCTTGGTGAGACTTCGTCCTGTATTAAAACTACATATTGGGTGCAGTTATGATTACTTTCTTAACTTATGTAAAGCAAAACTACATCCTGGACCAGCAAATTTAGTTTCCACGTTAGCTAAATTTGCCAGCATAAAGAAATTGCCAGGATACATAACTTTCTCTGAAAGCGAAAGCGAGAAACCAGATCAACTAACACAGTTATAGACGGAACGTGTGTAGTTTAGACAAACTTAATATCTGAGTACCAAACTTCGACTCAGATCGTCGCATTTGTGCAGTGGCAAAGCTAAACGTTTATAATTTGCTATCAATTTAGACAGTCGTCAAAGGATTTCAGCGAGTGCGAAAGGACAATTGGTAACACGAGGACTGACCCATTATTATATTTCATAGCTCGCTCAACCAGAAGAGGGAGTCTCAATTGTCCCTTATGCTAAGGACTCTTAGATAATATTGTTCGGGAATGGAATTGATAACTTGTAGTCGAAAGTAAAAGGTTACCTCTCCGAACTTTCTCGCTTCTTAAGTACAAGAGTACAAGTAGCCTAACCCTTTGCCCCACGAAGTCCTCGGCAAACCTTTTAACAAGCAGGATGAAGGAGATCACACTACAGCTGCGAATTCATGTCGATGGAGAAACAATTCCGACGGTGAATATCCGAATTCTTGGAGTTACCTTCGACACTTTGCTCCCCTTCTCGGCGCAAATGACCACAATTGTCAATAGAGTACAGAACCCAACAAGATCCTCATGTCGCTAGCCGGCAGCATCTCGGTCAAAGAAAAAGAAACGTTGTTGGCAACGTACAAGGAAATTTGGCGGCCGATTCTAAACTAGGCGAGACTTAGGTGCTATCCGTTGAGGAGCATAATATAGTCCTCTGCGAACTGTTCCTAGTAGGGGGTCACATACGCGGGCACCCGAACAGACACTTATTTGCTGCTGAGTTCTCACCAAGGCACGTTAGGAGGAATCTGTACATACAGATCATAAACGCCATTCACTGGCAGTCAGTATCGACTTACATCGACTCCCGACCTATGAATGCGCTTTTGGGAATATAAACATCTAACGTGGACGGGACAGAGCTTTGTCTGCCTCGTGAGACTCGCACCACCATAGCCCAACTCCGCTCTGGATACCGCAGCAGACTAAACTCGTACCTAAGCAGAATAAACGCGGATGTCCTTAACGAGTGCTCGGCTAGCAACTTCATGACGCACGGCACCACTTCGCAGTCGGAGTTGCACTCCCTGGGTCTCTGATTAGTTGAAATTTACGACAAACTGATATGGGGGTTGAGTAGCCGCTACAAAAATCACAACGAAAAAAGTCACTGTTAAGAGAAAAATTCACAAATTTTTTGGCGGTGGCTTCGATGGCCAAAGATGGTGGGAGATCTATAACTGATTGCGGTTTAAGGAGTAATTGGTCTGAGCCCGCTCGATCAAAAAGATCAGATGTCTTATTACTAAAAACTTTCGATTGGATTGTCACTCCAGACCTTTTTCCAAACTGAAGCATATTACGCAAGAGTTATGTTAAACGCACATTTAATATTTGCGAAATTCGCAGCGCCTTAATGGTACAAGTGTTGTTGAGCGGGCCTCTATGGAGCGAAAAGAAGGCTAGGCAACAAGTGGGATGGTCGGTGCAGTTTGGGGACTATCTATAGATCTCTCAAAAGAACAGCGCAATCAGATTGCGGGCTTTGGGTTATTTCAAGTAAAGGCCCTTCATACCATAAACTTGAACCAACCAATTCGCGCAAAGATGCAGTGCGTGAAGAGCACAGCTCTCTTTCCTTACGGGGCCAAGATGAAGTTGAGGCTGAGTTTTGCAAGATCGCAGACAATTGTTTTTCCTTATTCTAGGTTTCCTTATTCTACGTTGGTTTGCAACTTGTGGAGGACTGTAGGAGATAACTGACCTCAATTTCTGATAACTCAGGGCACAGAGACTGGTTAGTATGGGATTACCAGACCGGTCGGTAATACCTCGATCATCTCGACCAGGACGCTGTAAGGAATGACCAAGAAAATACCTAAAAACTAGAGGCTGTCTCCACAGCACACACTGACCCGGGGGTGTGCATGCCAAAGCATATACTGAAATTCATCAATAACGTCTAATGGCTCTAGGTTTGAACGAGCTTCTAGTTTCAAAAAGGTTAAAATTTGCCAATTGCTGGCCACCTTGTTTGACAAAGCACTCTAACCAACCAACCATAGTATTCCTTACCAACCTCGGGTGTAAAGGCGATATCTAGCCTCTAGCGACATATGTATATATGTTTCAAAGTAGCCAACAAATGCTCAGTATCTACTCTCTTCAGATATCTTTCCTCGCCGCTATTCTGACAACAAATCCATTTATACTTAGGAATAGTGACTGATTTTCCAGACAGACAGCTTGAAATTTTGATTTTAAACATAGGTGGCAACCCTTTTCAACGTATTTTAAATTTAGAACATTCTAAGCCTCTTTCGCCTGCCACCCATATTTTAAGAAACCTTTAGTTTGAACACTTAAATATTATTGAGGTATTTTACAAGGGTTGCCACCTGTTTAAAAATGTATATCAATTAATTTCAATGAATTATTATAGTATGGGTATCAATCGAAATGGGGTTCAAAAGGCTTTGCCTCTAAGAAATATGTAGGGGAGTTGCCACCTGCATTATTTTTTTATTTAAAGGACTTAGGTAATTGGAATATGTAGCACAATACGGATGTCAGACGAAAGAGGTTTAGTAAGGTTGGAGTATAAAAATATTTTGCAGAGGGTTGCCACTTGTTTGAAAATACGAATTTAATTAAATTATATATAAGTTAAAGTGTCAAACGCAATAGTGTTTAGACATCTTAGCTTGAATATGTATAAGTGTTTGAAGAGGGTTGCCACCTGTTTTAAAACTAACTTCAAATAAAGAATTTGGGTAATTTAAATGAATTATTACAATATGTTTATCATCCGCAATGGGTTGTAGAGGATTTTTTTCAAGCAATATGTGGCAGGATTGCCATCTGTTTTAAAAATCAAATTTTACTTGAAGCATGGGAACTAAGTAAATGAAATGCATCACAATATGGATGTCAAACGAAAGAGATTTAAGAAGGTTGTAACCTCTTTAATAAGTTAAATTCAATCTATTTAATAGTTTGTAGGAATAATTAAAATATATGTTGACGGATTGCCAATTGTTTAAAAACTCAACTTGGGCTTGAATTCAGGGAATAAGTGAATTAAAAATGTATCGCAAAAGAAAATTTTAAGAAAGTTTTAGTTTGAAAATATTTTGAAAGAGGTTAAATAAATTTGAAAGTCTTCTAATTTTTTGTCTGAGTTTAGGTATGTCAAGTTTTATTAAAGTAAATCATACACTTTATAATTTATTTTTAAAAGCAACAATAGCGGTTTTGGTAGCCACTTTAGAAATTGAAGTCCACAAGACAAGATACGCCCGAAGCACCTGCTGCTTAGTCTTTATTCGGGGCATTAGTTTACAGTTTATTGTCAGATACGAAATAGAAAGGGAGTAATTTCCGGTTTCACCAGCAATTTAGGTGAAAAATGATGATGAATGCTAAAAAATAATAATTTCTCATTTAAATTGCTTTCGTGAAAGTGACTATAAAGGACTAAACTGAATAATAAACTCAATTCCAAACAATAAACGCTGTTTACAAATCAAATCGTGTAACCCATTGCCTTTGCAAACAAAACAATCTTTTGTAAAAGTATTTTTCATAAGTTTTTTGCGCTCGTGCAGTAGGAAGTTATCCGTAGCGAGTTTCAATGAACTTAGGCCATTAGCGTACTCCAATCAATAACTGTCATTTGTGCTGTCAAGTTCTCATGTTTAATATTTGAATTTTTGTTATTTTATTTTATTTTTTTTTAACTTACACTTCCATATAGTTACATACACATGTACATTATGCATTATTTTTTATTTCTTATCAACACAATTTCCTTTCACACGATTTTTATTGATTAGCGATAAACGTTATCAGTCTCATATTTGTTTTGGGGGCAACTGGTAAGCGTTGAACTATGAGCTAAGTGGTATGTGCTATATATGCATACATATGTATGTATGTGTGCACATAAACTTGTGCATATTTGTATGTATGCGTTGCAGACCACGCGCTGTCTAGCTGTGGTGCTTGAAAAAGCGGGATTTTTTGTAAAAAAAAAGAATGTTTGTATAAGTTATCTGTGAAACACATATACACGAATAAGCAATCGATATGTTTGTTTGATTCCACAAAAAATAAGTATTGAGATAACTGAGCTAGTGAACGATTTTGATTTCATTTGACCATATGTATATATGTATACATATTTATACAAGTACACACGCACATATGTACGTATCTTTCCACATATATGTACACAAATGAAATCAGGCAAGACTACTATCACCGCAAAGTTCAATCAGTGATGGTCAACAACTAACTACCCGGACATGCTTTGTAAACCCTTCCCGCCATTTCATTATCTCGCACTGTGATTCACTTAATACTCACACTGTGCTATTTTTCTCATCGCTGTAGGTCATCCAGTAAATTCCGAAAGTGTCCTCATGCATTTGACCCTTAAACAATATTTCCAAGTGGTAGCGTTGACCCGCTTCAAAGGCTTGATAGTTTTCGATCGGGTGTATGATCAGAAAGCATGCTTGCTGGTCATATGTGTATGTGAGATCATCTAATTTTTCGTGAGTGTACGACTCACGCATCGATATCGAGAAATCGGTGAGATTCTTTGCGTGCAACACAATCTCATTGGTTGATTCGCGTATTGCAATGTCAATAGTGACATTGCCCGCATATTCGAACTGCTCGCGGTGTATATGTGATGCAATATGTAGGTAATAATGTAGGGGATATGTGGTGTTGGGCAGACGCAACGAACGTGGCGATCCATTCGTTACGGAGGAGTTCATTGAAGTTACATGCAATTCATCTTGATTTTTGAAAGGAAGCCTCTTGACTGCATTGGTAAGGGCATCTGTCTCGATCACGATACCGGAAATAATGTCGAAGAATAGCATGCCGAGCAGCAGCAGGTTGCAATAGTGGCGATGTCGAAAGCGCGCTTCACGCTCACCCATAACTGTCAGCGTTTTACACGATTTTTTTCTCTCACGAATGTGCCACAGCTGCTTAGATCGGTAGCAGTTTTGTGTTAGAAATATTGTCCCTTAACCGTAGTGAACTTCCACTCGTCTTGACTTAACAACCGCGACTGAAATGAAAACTCAGTGACGCGTTACCAGTGGCCAGACTAGACTTTCTCACTCGCTTGTAAAGTCGCTTGTCAGTCGACTCAATAGACAGCAAAAGCTAGCGCATTAATGACGCTGATAAGATAACGTTTGAGTATTCGCCATGCGTAGTGCGCTTTTGAGTGCTTTTGTAGAAGTCGAGGCGACTGTCAATCTTTGTATGCGCTGACAGAGTGTCAAGGTGTTAATTATTAGTTTAGTTATTAAAATGAAGTCTTGCTGCGAACATATATTTTAATTGACTTGCAACCGCCTAAGCTATTTTGGCCGAGTGGAATAAAGCCAATGAAATGACGCCAATTGGAAATGCCTAGTGAAGCCAAGTCTTTCTCCACCTGGCCTTTCCATAGCTACCTCCGTCGTTCCCGCTTAGGGCTGGAGCATTTGCGTTCATTCGTTGAACATAGTCGAGCCAACGACGCCTCTTTGATCGCCAATGGTCTACCATTTTTTGGAACGTTTTATATAAAGGGTTTCGCCTATTTAATCCCAAGCCACATTCAACTCCGTAAGCCGCAGTTTGTCAAAGGAACCTAGGAAACTTTGAATTGAACGGTCAATGTCAGAGGGGCTAAATTGAGGGTTTTGGTGCCTGACCGAACCCATTGCCATATACTTGATCACAAAACATCTATCAATAAAAGACATATCATTTTATTTCCCAAATTACTTGGGGCTCCGACCTTAATTAAGTCTTTGAGCGAGCTTCTTCAGCAATTTATTGGCGTGATTCTTGATGTTACCACACAATGGGTGGAACATGGGCGTATGCTGATAAAAAAAACTAAATATAATGTCCGGAACAGTAATCGAACCGAGATATTAGCGAGTGGTAGTTCGCACTCTCGAACGGTGGCCAATATTTCAAAAATTTGTTTTGCATTTCTTTCTTACTTGAGATTTTGAACATGCGATTCCGTCAAACTCGGTGGTTATGTCAGCATTAAATCCAGCCATAAATATTTTTTCTCAAATCTTTACTATCTGACCCGTCCAGCTAGAGTCCCTTGTTTGGGCTACAGGGCATCTCTGTTTTGCTAAATGGGTGTTTTTTTTATGTTCGGAAGGTTTCAGCGATTTCAAAAAGAAGACGAAAAAGCCATTAAAGACTCCTAACAAAGAAACCAATTTAAGAGCTGTTTTACGAAATCAACACTGAAAAAAATCAAAAGAGCAGAAAAGAGATTGGAGCAAATTTATTTTAGGACGCATAGGGTTTTTTTGTATTCAGTTGCAAAATATGCACCCTAATCATTGACGACTGGAATGCGGGTATTTTGTTCAAATTTGAAAACTGTCAATCAGGTCTTTCCTGCTCCTTATAAATTATTTTATTTTTGTCGAAATTCTCATGATTCGGGCTTGTTATTAGTCTTTTTCTGGCATTAAAATTATCATTTAGCTCATATGAGTAGTCCACTTGCAAATTGCGCTATGTATGCCCTCTACGCAAAAATACTAAAGGCTGGTTTTCACTATGCCATATTTTGACAATAAATTTTGTCAATATATTTTGACACTACTTTATCTCCTTTTCCCAACCCTTTACCGATTAGATCATGGGCCAAAAACGGATTCTGATATAAATCAGTCGATAAACCGTCTTTAATTTCATTTGACAATGTGTTTTCACTCATTTGACGACAAATGCCATTGAATTTGACATAGTGAAAAGCAGCCTTATGAAAAGGGCATTGAGAAGGCAAAATTTTTTTGTAGAAAAAAATATTTTTTTTTCCGATTTTTAGCTTTTGGTGGGTAACGTACCAGTATTTAGAGTAGTTTCATGTCCACTAACAACACAGTGTAAAATCTTTCTATATTCTGAAAAGAAAATAGCGTCAAACGTTAACTCTTTTTGCAAAAGTCGCTATCATACATATTTAGAAACAAAAGTCTCCATCCACGGCAAGTTGGATGAACATTGCGAACAGCGAGAGAAAGAGAATGAGCGATGAACTTCAGAATGTTCGAGAGTTGCCATGAGTGCGAGCGCAGGTATATAAGAGCCACGACACAGCGGAGTTGGAGAGTTACAAGTCAGTAAGCTACAAGTAAAGTGAGTTGCGAATAAGCAAGCTATAAGTATAATTGTGTTAACAAGTTTTGTAAAGTGTTGTAATTGCTTTAACGAGTATTGTAAAGTGCTTTTACGGTATTAACGAGTATTGTAAATTGTTTGCTGTACAATAAAGTTAATTGTACTACAATTTGGTCATCGTTAGCATTTATTTAACAATCCAGCGATACGAACCGAAAGCTTTTGGAAATCCGGACGAGGTTCCAAGGATAATCGTAACTATACTAATAAAAAATAAGATAAATTATAATCCCCTTTTTGATGGACCTTAGAGAGCTAAGAGAGATAGAACCTTATTTAAAAATATGTATTTCTAAATAGCCTTTCCTTAATATTTCTTTTGTGGCGTTTAACATAACTAATGGCGTTTTCTTTTCTCAGAGCGCTCTACGCACACATGCAATGAAAAGGCAAAATTTTTATAGAAAAGAAAACACTATTACTTATTTAATTCATTTTACTTTTTTATGTGGGTGGAAACAATTTTATTTTGAAGCCACCAATCTTTCAATATTAGGTCCATTCAATAACTGCTCCAGTAAGTACTTGCAGCGAGAGCGTACAAGAAAACATATAGAGTATAATTGAGAGGAAGCCAAAATTATCAGAAAAAGATTTATCGAATGCAAAACTAGTAAAAACTTGCCACTTACGCCATTTTGATACTTTCTTATGGTTAAATTTTGAAACCCGTAAATAAGTCCGACAGGTAGTTTCTGAGTTTAACGTGTTCAACTTTAATAACTTTAATGAAATGATTTATTTTTTTTTGGCGAAAAGCTTGATTTGCTAAAATAAGCGTAAAATTAAATACACCATTTTGTTAGAAAAATATTTCGAAAATTTTGCAATATTGCGAGCTTACCTTCGTTTAACTAGTTTTAATTTTTTCTTTGGGTGTATCTCATATGTTTTTAAATTACATTTGAGTGAAAGATTATATTTTGCCGTAGGCCTTGATAAGATATACTTTGATGACGCCAAAAAAAAAACAAATATTTATTTTATCTATGATATGCTACCTAATTACTCATTTCTAAAAACTTCTTAGAATATTACAAGTTTTTCTTTGAAATACGGCTGACGCATTAAAATTTTGTTAAAATTCTTGTTTGTTGGCATTTGGGAGAACTCTCTGGTGATTTGAAGGACCATAAAATGGAACAAAACCCGCTCTTTAAGTATAAATAGAATCCAATCGCTCAGAGAAAATCGTCGGAAGAAAGTTCGCTGCCAAAATTAAAACACACTGCAGTATTGCAGATTGCCCACAACTAAAGCGACGACGAAGTTCGTCTGACGCAATTCGGCTGCCGCCGGTCACAAAATCAGCTCTCAGTGGAAAAGTAGGTTTGTTTCCCCATAAAGTTAATGAATGTAATATTATTACATACATAATTTACCCCGCCAAGGTAACCTTTTTTGTCAGGCAATTCATTGAAAGATAATAACTTATTTCATTAAAAAAAAATATATATATAAAAATATATATTTTGAACCCCCTTTTTTAATTGCAAAGATCTAGAACGGCTGAACCGATTTTTTTTTAATTTCGGACACAGACTTTCTGAGGTTGGTTATATTTAGGCTAAAAAAAGTTATCTAAAAGGGGGCGTAGCACCTCCGAAACAAACCGAATTTCTCATACTGCATATCTCTGGAAGTGTTCATGATAGAGTATTGGAACTTGGTATTGATATATATTAAGTCAATCTCAAGCTCATCGAAAAAATGGGGTTATTCGAAAAGCCGGTGTGGCACCGTGAACTTGGAATGGAGATATATGAAATCAATCATATACTTATGAAAAGGCTCGCGGTACCGCCCATATTTACCTAGAATACTGAGATGACTTAATTTATCAATGAATTAAAGTTGGAAATCTGTACTGTAAAAACGGGCGTGACACCTTACCGCTACATGTTCACAGGGTGTATCCCCGCAACGATTGTAAGCTAAACTTTGCAGCTAGCTAGTCAAACTAATAAGAACGAGCCATTCACTTGGAATGTTCGAAAGAGCTTATGATAATAAGTCATCATCCTTGATTTTCTTACCTGTGCAATAAAGTTTCACTATCGGTTAGGGTATTTTAAATTGTCATGAAAATTGTGTTGCTAGCTTCATGCTGTCAACATGTTGCAAGCTTTTTCACTGCAGAAATGTTGTAGAATTTCACACTTATTTCACAGAAAGAAATTTTGTATGCGAATTGACAGCTTTTTCACGTGAAACGGGATCAGAATAATATGCTTAAGCACAAATTAGTGAGTTTTGCGCTTTTGCAGTCTAAAGTACGTGTAGTCGCAGCATTTAATTTAGCATTAAGTACATACATGTTTATGTACATTAGGGTGGTTCAAAAAGTAAAGTCGACATTTTAATGCTCTCACCCCATAGGATTGTTCTGTACCGAAAAATATACCCCTGATATTTCCTTTAATTTGAAATAAAAGAATGTGTAGAGCTCGCTCAAAGCACCCAAAGTTTTCCATGTAGTCGTAGAAATGGTAAGGCATTCTTGAAAATCAACATTTTTCGATTAGGAGACTGCCAATAATAATATATAATTGTTTATTTAACCATTTTTTATAGTAACTATTCTTAATAGGTCCCCCAAAAACTAAAAAAATGCACTACAGGAGACATAAAAAAAGTTACTATTAAAAAGTGGTTAAATAAACAATTGGGTATTATTGTTGGAAGTCTCCTTAAGAGAAACAGAGTTATTTCTACGAAAAATTGTTTTTCCCCATGTAATATGCATGGAAATCTTCGAGCGCTTTGAGCGACCTCTATATATTTTTTTGAATTCGAAATAAATGCGGTGTATTTCTTCGATATAGAACAATCCTAGGGCGTGAGAGCATTAATATTCGGACTTAATTCCGCCCCCCACACGCATTAATGGACCACCCTAATATTTATATTCGCTTATCCCGACCTTGTTGGTGTTTACGTCGCATTACATATCGACAAATGTGCTTGTAAAATTACTTATTTAATCGCTTCACTAAGTGAAGTGTGATAATTAGGGCAACCAAAAATATGCCGTAAAAATATGATTTTAAGCGCTTATAACAATATCAAAAACATGCTTAAAATATGCATTTAAAAAAAAATAAATAGCTCAATTTTTCTTGTGTAAAAATGCAATATCAAAATATTCGGATACATTTTCAGAAAAAATTGATTGCCTGTTATTGCGGAATACATTCTTAAACATGGAAAAGGCACAAACTTAAAGGATGAAATTTCAGTCACTGTATATTTTTCAATCGGATTAATTGAATTACCGGATACAATTTGGCTTACAATATTTTTTGTTACAACAAAGCCCGGCTTTTGCTAAAAACTGATTTTAGCTGAAAATGTTTTTTTTTTCAGCAATTAACAATTCCTATCAGGCAGGTTCTGCAATTCACTGCCGGGTGAATTTCACCCAAAACCACTTCCAATTCATATTGCAAGGGGTTCAAATTCACTCGAAAGTAAATTGCAGAACCTGCCTTTTGCCTACTGGCAAAAAAATGGTATTCAAATAATAAGCACAAATCCAAATAAAAATTATTTCGAAGTGAATTCAACATTCTAATGGTAACCCCGGATAGAAAATTCCTCAAATGCTGTCTACGCAGGTAGCTAGTGGAGGAAAAGTGGAGATCCAATGGATCAAAATGCAGCATTTATATTTGCCTTTTCTGATTTCAATTCTTCCAGAACAGAAAGTAATGCACTTGTTAGACGTCTTAGCAATTATATTATAACAAAAAACATTTCAAAACCGTCAGGTATTTAAGTGTGATGCTTGCCCTCAAGTTTTTCACTAGTCCTACGTGATCGGCAATTTAAAGAAATATTAAATTTTTTGAATATGCACTACATTTGGCATTTATTTTTAAAATATGCAAAAACATGCATTGAGTGCGAAATATGCTTTAACAAATATGGCTAAAACGTTTTATCTTTTTATAATTAGAATTTACTTTTTATGCATTTTTTGATAAAGTATAAGAAAAAAAACATGCTCGAACATATTTTGGGTTGCCCTAGGGATAATTCAGTATTTGTGTATTCATACTAAAACAGAAATATGCACATAAAACAGCTCTCTTTGCATACATACATACGCAAAACAAGAACACCAAAACAAAATCAAATATCTGTTTGTTTTAAAAATTCTAGTTTTTCTCCGTTGTTGCCATTCTAGTGCGTGAGTTTATTTTAAGTATGTATGTATGTACATATCGAGCCCTAACCGCCAAAAAGGCGTAAGGGAAATTTTCTACACAATTTGATTTTTGATTCAGAAATGCATCTAGATGCTCCTTTGGCGATTATCGCTCGATATGTTTGCAAGTATTCAAAAATATTTTGGTTTTGTCAGTAATTAGTATGAAAGTCAGGTCCAAAGAGGTGATGAAATTTTTTTTCAATCTTTTAAATTGTGTACATAAATCATTAATTTAGCATATACAGCCATATGGCAACCATATCTTCAATACGGACAATGCTATGTGAACTTAAACTGCGCTCATGAATATCAGTTGAATGCCGGCTTTGCCATAGTAAACACGTCGAAGATGAGTAAACCAAGTAAATTTTTGTTTTTGGCCTGCTTAAGCGCTGTGATTTGTGATTTCGCCTTCAGTGCAGAGAGAAAATGCGCTGAATACAATGAATATGTAAGTGAGAAAATCAGTTTGCTTTGGATTTTAAAACAACCACAACAACAATAACACTTCGCTATTATTATGTATTATTATTGTTAGTTACTAGGAATTTTTATTTATATTTTGCTAAAATAATAACAAGTATTATTTCAGTGTCAAGAGCATTGGGAATGTTGTTCCAACACATGCTTAACATACTCATATCGCTGTATTGGAAAGAAACGCCCCAGCCTCACTTTCGGGGCACCCAGCATGAGCTTTGATGAGCTCTTAGATAGCATTTCTGGTGCTAACATGATTCCCGATACCACATATAATCGACCAGAAATCGACAATCGTGATAAATCTGGAATAACTTTGCAACATTTGTTAGATGCCAATCAAGAGTGGGGAGCACAAGCGGAGGAGCCAGTTCTGCAGAGCCGTTTTGCGGCAGTCGATGGGAGGAGTGAAACTGCAGCCAGTTCGAGTATACCAGATTACATCTTCTTTGTCTTACAACCGAAAGAAGTGATGCGTCAGCCAAAGCAATTGGAAGAACAAGCGCAATCAGCAACAAAAGACTCACCAGCCGATACAGCGCAGACTGTGAGAGTCGATGCGGGGGAGGAGAATGCAACCGAAAGTGATATTGTGCAGACGACAGAGCAACAGTGCAAAGAAATCGGAGCGAAGGTCGGCCAAGAGTATACTTATTCATACATATACATATTTACGTACTTAACTTTTTTCTTTTATTTTCTTATTTACTGCAGTGTTATCGCCACGAAGAATGTTGTACCAACCGCTGTCATGGCTTCTTGCATCAATGTGTTACATAGGTTGACTCTTGTTGTGCTCTTATGTGTTTCGAGACACTTACATATTAAGCTGAAATATCCTGTAAAAAAAAAAAAAAGATTTAATGTATGCGCTTAATAGTAGGACGTATAAAAGAATCGCGAAAGCTCCAATAAAAATTTATATGTATAAGTTTGTATAACATATTTACATAAATAAAAAATACAATTTTTAGATACTTGAAGGTGTGTTCTTTACAACGCTATGCATAAGGAATGATAGCAGCCTAATTGAAATTAAAAATTGTAACTGTGAGGACTAAAGTTGGTTGAAGAATTTGCCTTTGTTCTCCTTTCCTAGATTAATTCGTAACAATTTATATTTAAAAATTTTATCGAGTTTATTCTCAAACTCAATAAGATGGTTGAACCTAAATTTTAGTAGCCAAAAAATAACAAAAACCAAATACTTAGGGATGAGCAGCCTCCAAGTTAAAATTCTAAAAATATAACTAAACTAAACTAAATAACAACAATCACATGATCCAGTCGAAATGGCAAAAATGCCCTTGGTTTTAGTTTGATTGACAAGTGAAAAAGTGGAAATATCAACTAGAATTCACATGGCGAATTTAGTTCAGTAGACTCTGTAAGCCGGAGTTGCTGGTTTGAGTCCCAATTTACTTGATGAAGAAGTCTAATGAGGAAATAGGATGCTATCAGAAATAGCTGCTATAAATTTTTGCATATGGGTCATTCTATGCAAAATTTACACCTCAATATTATTTTCTTTTGTGAAATAACTTTTTTATATTCATTATAGAAAAAAAGAAAACGCCTATTATTTTGCTCCATCATAATATTCGAAAATCTCGAAAAAAAATTCCGAAATTTTGAACTCACAGAAATATATTTTTTTATTTTTTTCGAAGTTAGTAAATTATTTTTCGGCGAAAATCAGTTATATAATCAAAATGTGCGTAATTACTTCGGCTTTCCGTTAGTGGGTAAAATAGACTTAAATAAATAATTTTTTTTTTTGGATTAAAATATTGCTTTTGTTTTAAAGTTAATTAATAATTTTTATACGGGAGCGCACTTGTGCACGACACTTTGTTCACATAACGGTTGTTTGTAACAGCATAAAGAAATCAAGACAAAAATAGACAAACGAATACATAAATGCTCAAAATGAATAGAGAAGTCGATTTAGCCATGTCTTTCTGTCCGTCCGTACGTCCGTGTACACGATACCTCGGGCAAAAATCTAGATATCTCAACGAAATTTGGTATGCAGTTTGCCCTTTATCCAAAGTAGGTTGATATAGAAATCGGACTGTAACCACGCCTACTTCCCATATAACGGTATTTTCTAAAACTGCAATAACTATCTATATCTCACTAAACATTGGATCCAAATTGTTGAAAAATAATTTGTGAAGTTGAATTTTGTAGAATCATTCTGCAAGTGGGTTTTAAAATCAATATTATCTGCCCTTTAAACACAAAGTTTGTTTTGAAAAAATGTATTTATTGGCCAGGAAAATTTTGAAACCTATATGAGAAAACGGCACTTAAGGTTGCAACGACGATATTTGATAACGGCGCCGCATATATAAAACTCAGTTTCGCCCGAACTTATACTTCTTTACTTGTTTTTTTTTTTTTTATTAATTATACACGGTTTTTTTTTTAAACATAACTTCATGGAGTACACTGTAAAAATTTTGAGAATGGAAAAATCGAAATTATGGAAGTTGCGAAATTTTTCAGACTAGGCAAGTTAAGCTAGCAGGCATGAACAAATTCGTATCTTCTACAGTGTTGGTTTCTCCATTCTTACATTTTTACAATGTACTCCATAAAGTTTGGCAACTATTTAGACAACAGAAATTAAACAGTGTATATAATAAAAAATATACATATTAAACAAATGCAGTTTTTAAATGGAAAAAATTATTTATTTAAATCTATCTCTGACTGTAATGGAAAGCCGAGGTAATTACGCACATTTTAATAACTTAACTGATTTTATTTTTTTTCTAATATTTTTGTTGAGCTTTGTACCACGTTTGTTTATTAGGGAGATTTTCGCCGACAAATAGTTTATTAAAAAAAGTACTTCTATGTGAGTTAGAAATTTCGAAGATTTTTTTTTTTGAGATTTTGTCTTTCACAAAAAAGAATTTGAGATGAAAACTTTGCATGGAATGAGCCATATGTAAACTATTGTTGTTTTTTTTTTTTTACAAACATTTTCATCAAAAACTGTCTCTAGTTCAATAAAATTGTAAGTAAGCGGAAAAATTACAAAAAACTAAATTCGTAAATATTATGCAATAAATTTAAATAAACACAATTCATAGTCTTAGAACGTCGTGAAATTTTATGGCGACTTTTTTTTGTAAGTAATAACTTGATTTTATACAAAAAGTCGGACGAAACTAAGAGCCTTCTTATTCTGCCTAAGGAGTTTTGCCCCTGTCTAATAACTAATGCACGCCAGTCGATTCCCTTCTCTGTGAACTGACGCCAATTGGAAATGCCAAGTGAAGCCAAGCCCTTCTCCGCCTGGTCTTTCCATCGCCTTCCCCTTTCTCTGCTACGCCCGGCAGAATCTGCGTTGAAAATTTTCAGTCGCTGTATTTTTTTTTTGCGCTGACTATTTCAATATCATTGCAATGCTTAGTTACTGTCGCAAACGCGCAGAGTCCCGTAAATCTTCCGAAGAATATCTCTCTCGAACACTCCAAGGGCTGACTCATCGGATGTTTTCGTTTTCTATGCTTCGGCACCATTCACAAGCATAACTGTCGCATATGGGGATCGGAAAACCCGCACGCATCGCCGAAAAGCTAATGCATCCTCAGAGAGTAACAGTTTGGTCAGGATTTTGGAGTGATGCTGCTAGAAACGTCATTTCGGTCAACGGTGAGCGCTACCGAGGCATGGAAAACGAAGCCATCCGAATGAATAAAATCGTATTCAATAAATAATTAAAGTGTTTGCTCTTTCGGGTAAATCAAAAATATACTGAAAAAATTGAGTTTTGTTTTTTTTTTTTGGAATTTTTTAAAGAGTAACCACTATATGGATATGGGAAATTCTTTTTCCAAACAGCCACCCCGCTGCCCATTTATCTTGTGAGAGAAAAAAATGTTTTGAGCTCATGCAAAAATTTTTCATGAAGTGTAGGTTTGGATGCCGTCTGGTCTTTTGTGAAAATACAATTTCCTAACCTCAAAATAACTGTCCAAAAAGAGGCGTGCCGCCAAAAAATTCAGTTTTTCTTCAACAAAAATGGTAGAAAAAGATAAAAATATTCAAATTAGTTTGAATCAAATAACTATTTTGGTTGTTCTAGATGCCGCTGAAAAAGAATCCGGTAACAGTTTTTTAGATTCAAGGTGACGGATCCACATCTGTGGACAGCATTTTTGTAATTTTTGACCGCTTTCTTTAAATAGCTGTATAGGCGGCCAGACAGCATCAACATTTTTTCATGTGCTCAACACATTTTTCCACCCACAAGATAAGTGTACAGGGGGGGCTGGTTTGAAAAAGACATCCCATTATACATACGCACATATGTATGTAGTATGTATGTATGGATGTATATGTATTTGACTCCCTTATCAGCTATGATCTGTGAAATGATTCAAAGGCCTGTCAACTATCATCGTTGTCATAAATATTACACGTAAAGTAAATAAAAACCTAAAAACGTTAAATAAACGATCAAAATATGCGAAAACTTTTGGAATTTTGCAATTTTGTTGGTAAACAAAAAACTCTGAAAAATGTGTCACAGCGATAAAATTGAGTATCTGCTTATCAAAACAAAATGATAAGTGGCATGTTTACATGCATATGTATATATGTACAAGTGTATCCACTTGGACTACAGATATTTGACCGAGTTTCACCGCTACCATAAAAGGCGAAAATTTTTGGAATCCAACACAATAGCAACTAAATTGGCAGTTAACGGTGCTGCACTGAAATTGAGCGCGACAAAAAATCCAGCAGTAATCAAGAGGAATTAAAATTAAGTTACAATTAAAACGAAAGTATTGTACGGGGAAATAAGCAGCAAGCAAACAAGCTGTTGAGTCAACATAATGGGCTCGATGAAAAGTTTGGTGCTACATTTGTTGTTGTTATCACTGTGTGCTATGGTAGGTTTCCACAGAAAAACGTAGATATCCTTTATTTTATTATTGTGGTTATTGCTTTTTTAATGCTTATACAACAGCGCAAGTTTATGCCCACCCAAATTACTGAGCATAAATGCAATTAATTTTTTCTCCTTTGTCATCTCAACGCCCCCTCTTCTCACTCTCTCTCTCTCTCTCCCTCTCGCTGTGCTTTATTGCCTTGTGCACGCATTTAATGAATGCTGTTATTAAATTGCAACAATGGGCGTGTACATTGTACAACAACAACAACAAAAAACAAATGCACAAAAACACAACAACTAAAACAACTGGGACAATGGAAAATGCGTCAACGACATGATGTGCGTTGCGTTAGGTGTTGCAGCGTGCAACAAGTTTACCCACGGAATTGACGACAACACAACAAACCGAAGAACCTTTAATCCCACAAACGACTGTGGAGGCTGCGGCAAATGAGGTTATGCTAGCAACGGTCGGCATAGTCGGTGATGGCGGCGATGCTGTGCAGGCGGTTGTTACGTCGACGTTGATGCCGTTTTTGCCGACGGATGAGGTAAAATTGATTGGCAATTTGTGTGAATTTTATTTAATTACAGCTAAAAATTACTTTAGTTGAGCTGTTTTGAGTTCATCTTCCATTTCCTTTTGACTGCTTGTTGACATTTGCAACTTAACTTAAAACAAAAAAAAAAAAAATTGCTCTGCGTTTCCGGTTACAATCGCATTTGCTTTTCTTAGAATTTTACTGCATTTATTTCCTTTATGAGAACTAACCTAATATCTTTGTATTTTTTTATTTTATTTTTTATTTTTGAATCACTCTTTTTTATTAAATGTCCTTTTTCTTTTCAGCTTCCGCCGAGTAAAGTAAAATGCGTCAAAGTTGGGGGATTTTGCCATTTGGCGGACGTTTGCTGCACGAAACGCTGCCTTACCTTCGCAAGACGATGTGTAACATAATTTTTTGAGCTAAAAAATAAATTCGGTTATTGATATATTCCAAGGAAAGTTTGAAAGTGTCTAATCTCTATTAGGAACTGAATTAGCTTTACGTAATAATTTGTTTTGGTTCGTTATTTATGGCCTTATAACAAAAAAAAAAAAAAAATGCGTGTGTAACACCGTACACATGATAGAAGTGAAACTGCTTAAAAAAGGTGTGAGTACCAGGTACCCCCTCACGAAATTGGATGTGTAAACATATGTTTACAGTTCGGCAAACCATTAGGCGATTAAGTTACATACATACATAGGTTTGGTTAGAAATCAAACAATGAGGCCTATTCTGGATTTCGTACGAATCGAAAATTTGAAATTTTTGTATAGAAAATGTTAGGAAAATTTCATAATTGAACCGTTGAACCGTTGGTTCAGATTGATCCGTAATCAAGTTTGACGTTTTGCCCACAAACATTGCAATTTTTCGAACAGTCTCATTGTAAAATCTCGATTTTACAATTTCATACTTTCGGCTTACATTTATTTATAAAATTCAACGAAAGCACGTACCTATTTGGGCTGAGTTATCCATTTTCGGTTATTTAGTGTACAAAATAAACGCAAATTAAATGAGTTTGTACAACATGGCCATTAATGTAGCGATAAGTTGTACAATTGCGAGAAAATCCAAATTTTTTCCAATTTCATACAACCAAGACATAAATTCATTAAACAGACTCACAAACGGCGCTATATAAATACATATGTGCACTGTGCTATAGATTTTGTGATGACACGAGGCAATATTCATTTTAAGTTTAAGTTGTTATAAAAAGGACTTTTTGACTTGATATTGGTAGTTTTTTCAACCAACATAATAAGTGCTATTTACAGCCGTAAAGCCAATATCGAATTATTTGTTACTTTTCAGGTATTTTTAAATGAAGATTTTTTGGGACCATAAAGATTTTTTTTAGCTTTAAAATCTTATTTTGAAACTTTTTTGGAAAAAATTAAGATTTTTAGGGGACTTTCTCTGGGCAACACTGCATATACTACGTAAAGGAGCGCAAATTCGGTATTGGGGTCGTGGTGAAAGTGAGACTTCATCGCAGAGTACTGGCGCTCACCCCGATGGACGAATGTCTCGCCACAAGCCTCTTTGAATTTATTTAAAAAAGCTCCTAATAGATTTGTTTGCTTATTTTAAAGAACATCATTACTACTTAAAAAAAATATATGTATTCATTTTTAATTAAAATGTATAAAAATTTATCCTCCATTCATGCATTCAGTTCATGAAAAAAAAACGTATGCAACTTAACCAAAAGCTTAAATAGTAAGCGGACACTGACAGCATAGCGAATCCAATTTAGTTTAAGATGAAATGCGCCCATACAAAGCGGAAGCAATTACCAGTATGCATATTTGAATAAGTTGAGTAGTGTGGCTTGAGATAAGTGGTTGACAGATTTCATGACAAAACGGAATAGATTAACTAATATTTTCTTTCCTGCGGCCATTCGTGCTCTTTTCATATTATTTTGCACAGAAAGTTATGCATATACATATGTATATGTACAATAGAATTCTATTTTATATATAGAAGGCTTCAAACCAGCGTTGAGAATTATTTTATTTGTGGTGCACAATTTTACTGATACTACTGAGGTACAAAACAATAAAAAAAGTACTGTATATTAGTACTTCGTAGAATTTCGTGCTAATAAATTTCAATGTTTAGATTTACGTCGACACATGTGTATGCCACAAACAAAAGCCCAAACAAATATTTTCTGAAATGCATTTTATTTGCGATTGGCTTTGCTCGCCCTGAGGCGCGCCTTGGCTCAACGCATTTTTACTTTTAAATTTTTACTTTTAAAGTAGTATGCTCGATAATGCATGATTAATTGATATCTACATATATACTTCTTCTTCTTCTTATTTAGCAGTACAACCGTTTGTTGGTTTCGGCCGATACCAAAACGCCTCTGGAATTGTGCGAATTTGCGAAATTTAGTTATCCCGAGCGCAGACAGGTCCTTCTGCACTTGGTCCTTCTATTGGGCGCCCTTGCTTTCGTTGTCCATCAATGGGTGCGGAGTCGAAGGATCTTTTCACCGGAGCGTCGTCATCCGTACAACATGTCCAAGCCGGCGCAATCGCTGTAGCTTTATGCGCTTAACTATGTCCATGTCGTTAAAAGCTCATACAGTTCGTCATTTCATCTTCTCCGACACTCGTCGTCTACGAAAACAGGGTCGTAGATCTAGCGTAGAATAGTTCTCTCGAAAGCCCCAAAGCCTTCTCATCTTTGTTCGATATCGTCCAAGTTTTTTCGCCATATAAAAGGAGATGCATGATGAGAGATTTGTAGAGCGTGACATTTGTTCGCCGAGAGAGGGCTCTATTTTTCAATTACCTACCGACCCCAAAGTAGCACCTGTTGGCAAGAGTAATTCTTCGCTTAATCTCCAGGCTGACATTGTTGGTGGTCTTTATGCTGGATCCTAGGCAGACAAACTTCCTTCACTACTTCAAAGTTATAGCTGCCAATAGTGTGGCGTATGTCTCGAAACGAGTGCTCTTTATATGTTGCCAGGAGGTATGTTGTCTTGCCCTCGTTCACCCCTAGGCTTATGTACCGTTGTAGCTTCTTTTTCTAAACTGGAAAATGCTGCGGTTACGCCCCTTTTTTCAGACCTACGATCATTTGCATATGCCAGCAGCATCTACATATGCACAGGTGGAAAGATTTTAAATACTTCACGTCTGTTGTAAGAATACTAAACTGTGATTAAGGGCCCAAAGAGTAGTGCGAGTAAATGAATTTGAATATTCGTGTCAAAGTTCAGTTTTATTTTTTAAATGTTTTTGTAGGGTAATCGCCGCATAATGTATGCTACGACTTATACTAATTATTCACGCTGTGTTTCTAGAACAATGACGTAATGTCTCATTAGTCTATACGTAAAGGCATCACGTATTCTTGGGAAGGTACCAGAGTTGGAAATTATGTAGAATTTCTGACTCCCCAGCTTAAGAGCTCTGCTTTGGCGGAAAGCTACCCTCGATCCCAGGTATGTACATTGGTTCAAAGAATGTTCCAAGGATGAAAGATAGATCAGGTGTAGGTAGCTATGAACCCGGCACCAAACTTTCAGTTAGGAAGATGTTGAAACTAGCTGACCAACCGTCCATTTAGAGGAGGATTGTCCTCCTCAAACGTGATTTGTCCTCCTCAAAAATATTGTCCTTCTCTGCCCCCGTTAGAGAAAAAATGTTCTCCTTTTTAAGTTTTAGGTTTTCAAAACATTTCGTTCAAAATATTATTGTTTCCTAATCGTATTGAATAAATACAAAATTATAATCGAACTTTGACGAAAGACGAAGAACAAGAGCCATTTATTTTCCCAATTTTTAATTTCTAATCGCTATTTGCATATTTACTTGCTATCTGGCAACGAAATAAGTAATTGCCTCAAGCTTTTGGTGTGAAATGGCATAAAAAATATCTATGACCAGCTACGGCTATACAAATTCTCGCAATTGAATTTCATTCATTTCACAGCTTACAAAAAAATCTAGAATTAAAAATTTCATTTGGCTTTCTCGTTGATTGCTTTCTATCATAGAGGACAATGTGGCTGCCATTCATTTATCCCATATAAATTCGTGACAGCCTATTGCCAATTTGCTTGTTTAGCGGTAATAGTAGTTGTTGTTCGAACATCTGTTGCTGCGGTCAATTTATTGATTGCTTTGCTGTGTTTTGTAATCGCTGATTACTATGTTTTTCTTGTACTCGATGTGGCTATGCAATGGTGTTAAATTGATTATTGTTGTTGCTGCCACTAATTGCTACTCCAGCACAGTAAATGCCATGCAGATTGCCAACACTCGTCTTTTATTTTGCGAACGCACTGTCGCGATGAGCGACTTCATATTTCGTAAGCATGATATTACATCGTCCTAGGGCAAAACTTCTATCAATATTAGAGCCATAATAGGATGCCAAAAGGAAGCAGTTCTTTCTCCCATACTTTGGTCTCTTGCGATGGATGACCTCCTAATAAAATTAAAAGATTGTGACCGTTATCTACGCAGACAACATGTGTTATGGAGGAAATCGCTAGCTTAGTTTGACACATTTTGAGTGCAGCTACTCGTGGGATCAAACTGGTATGTCAGCGGGGGTTTCAGTATAAATTTCCAAAACAGCTGTTATTTTAAAGTTAACAAGAAAAGGTTACCCTTGGGGGGATAGTGGTTGGACAAGGGCTTTGAATTAATGTTTAACAGATTAGTTTGAAACTCATATCTCGTGAAAACTTCTAGTAAGGGACCTGAGCCATGTGAGCCTGTAGAAAATTTTTTGCCTCCAAAAAGCTAAGAAAAACTGCCGTATCACATTTCAGTAAACTTCAAGGGTTTACTATACTCTCAGTAACAGAATTTTTTCAGCCCCGGTGTGGGGAGATACTTCTCTAGTTATAGCGGGGCTATTCCCTCTTGATATTGAGGCACAAGTGCAAAGCGAGGTCATCCAAACACTAGGTGCGAGGTTTACAAGAGCGCAGCTAGACAACGGGTTATGCAAGGTGGGGTGCTGCGTCAATGGAAACTGCCACAGGACAGATATTATTTCAAGCCGAAGTGATAGTAATTTCGACTTGTGCCAGACTGAACCTTGAAAACGGTGTTGCGAGCCGCATTTTTATGTAGTTAGATTGTCAGGCAGTGAGGTGACCATGAGGTGCCTAACCAAAAGGATGACCACCTTAACGGTCTTTTAGGAATGTACCAGGCGAGCAAACTACTTAGCCTTTTTAAAACGTTATTTTATGTTCTATTTCAAAGAGCCTCAATACTTTCAATGAAGCGATCACCTGTCAATGCGTCCGCCATCTCTTCTAAATCTCCCGTTAAGCGATTCTTTATAAAAATCAACAACTACTTGCCAATGGTAAAAGCTTGCTTGAGTAGAAGATTTTAGTACGAGACGTTTTATTTCGTTCAATATACATATATTCTTCAACACAAATAATAGCAACAGGCGAAGCAATACAAACTGAAGC